GAGCACGGTTCGTGTTGCGTATCGAAACAGGCGTATCGAGGCAGCTAAGCACGGAAAAGACGCATCGCATTGAAAAATCGGGACTGGAACCCCAGGTTCATCTGTGATGGTCCTGGGGCCCGGAACTCAGCCAAAGCGCTGGGTGCGAACGGTGTGCGGCGCCCGGATCTCAGAGCCCACCTCCCTCCCTTCTCCATTCCCTAAAGGCTTGTCGACTTTTCGCCAACTTGTGGAGATCGAGCCAGATAAATCCAGGTAAATGCAGATAAACCGAGATCAATCCAGGTAAATCCAGGTAAATCGAGATCAATCTGGATAAGTCCAAATAATTCCAGAGATCTCCAGGGAAAGTTGGAGCAATTCGCGGGCTCTCCAACGCGAGTCGAAGGACGGCAGAAGTCGTTAAGCCTTTAACGATCCATGACTGCGGATCCTCTGTGCATGGAAAGAATTCCTCACTTAGACGTGTGCCGGAAATGCACCCCAAACGATGCGAAAAAAAAGTGGACATTGATGTCTCTGGGAAGTCGGGCGGCTCTTTCCGCAAGAGTATGGCGGAAACAGCGACGGCGAAGGAGGGCGGACATCGGCAGCCAACGAGCCTGAGCAGCAGGGCAGAAATTCCCGCCCTGCTTGGGGCACCGCACAAAGTGCACGGCGGACCCGGAGTCGGGGCCTCTGGCCCCAGGCGTGCCCGGAGGCGGAGGAGGAGGAGGAGGAGGACCTCAGCCTGCGTCATGACCCTCGCTCATGTTGATGACCTCGGCCTACGTCATACAGTCAACCAGCATCGTAAGGATGAGCGACTTTCCATTTATGCCGCTTTGCTTTTCTTCGAGGGTTGACTGCACGTCAGAACCCCACAAGTCAGCCCTACGTCCTCCTCCTCCTCCTCCTCCTCCTCATGCTCGTCCTCCTCCTCCTCCAGCTCCTCCTCCTCCTGCTGCGGCTCCTCCGCCTCCTGCTCCTCCTCCTCCTCCTCCTCCTCCTCCTCCTCCTCCTCCTCCTCATGCTCGTCCTCCTCCTCCTCCTCCTCCTCCTCCTCCGGCTCCTCCTCCGGCTCCTCCTCCTCCTCCTCCTCCTCCTCCTCCTCCTCCTCGTCGCGCAAGTCAGCCCCGCGTGATGGCACGGAGGCCACCTGGGGCCCTCGGCAGGGGGGTAAGCCGTCGGGCCTCGTGCCGCGGACCCTGTCGAGCAGCACTCGCCGGATCACGTTAGGCCAGGTCCTCTCCGAGCCCAGACTTGCGACGAAGTGTCAGGCTAAACTGGCTGGACCTGCTCCTTCTCCTCCTCCTCCTCCTCCTCCTTTTCCTCCTCCTGATCATCCTCCTCCTCCTCGACGCCATTCAAAAACCGCAGCGCCCGATCGGTTCTTCGAGCGCCGTCGATTTTGAGCGAGCACCCGAATTCGGGCGAATCGACGGCGCGGCGGCAATCTCACGATGGATCTCACAGTCGATCCCACTGTCGACCTCACACCAGATTTCAACATCGATCTCACAGCTCGCGATAGTTGTCTAGCGAATACCAGATTTCACAACGGATCTCGCAATCAATATCACTGTCGATCTCACACCAGATTTCATTATTCGACGAATCGACGGCAATCGACGGTGCGTCGATTTACGGTCGCTGGACAACTATCGGGCGCTTCGATTTTGAACGGCGTCGAGGAAAAAACGCCACAACGACATCGAGCAAAGAAGTACGCAGCCCGGAACATGACAAAATGCACCGAAGTTTCGTTTGGGGTCCTGTTCAGACCGAATAGTTCTGGCACTTGTCAGAAAACGCATTCTTGAATGCTTCGAGGGCACTGCCAGATCTCGGACAACCCTGCGCTTTGAGCAGCGCCAACCGCGCGGGCGCCGAAAACAAACACCGTCAGTGTATGTTCGACGAGTCTTGTGAGGAGCCCCACGTTGCAGCTACAAGAAGCAAGTGGTACATCATCTCTTGCATAATGATTTGGGATCGGGCGACGGGTGGAGGTCAAGGTGGCAGGGGATGATACTCGGACGAGTGCTTCGCAACCCTTCGCTAGACAGCCGCCTGTTTCCCTTGTCTTTTCTCTGCTCAATGCTCCACGCGGCCAGCCAGTGCAAGCTGTGCAAGCCCATAGCCATCACAAGCCACCAAGTCAGCCAGCTGCCTAGCTTAGCCCTGCTGTCCCCAACAGCAAGACTACATATAATCAGAGACCACAGCAGAAAGCAAGCAGCCTTTTCTTCTGCACGTGTACTTCGTCCCCTCCTTCGTTCGGTTTCGCTCCCTGACCCTTTCGGTGTACCATCGCGACTCGGCCTTCCTCACTCGCTCGGGTACCGCGTGGCGAGCATATACTCCGAGTCACTGGGCTTACTTCTTTCTACTCGTCTCTCACGCCCAATTCCTTTTCCACCATATACGCTTGTCTCGCATAGTTGTTGTGCACCACGCCGAAGTCGGCCTTGCAACTCACATGTCTGTTTTCCCACGCAAGCGCTTAAGCTCCGTTGCCTAAGTCCGCCCAGCGCAAAACAGAGGGGAGGGCAGGAGAAGGAGGAGGAGGAGGAGGAGGAGGAGGAGGAGGAGCAGGAGGAGGAGCAGGAGCATGAGCAGGAGGAGGAGATGGCGGAGGAGGAGATGGAGGGTCCTCGTCGGCCGCGGCAGGCGCGGGTCGCGGCCACGTGGCAGCCAGCAGAGCTAAAAGCCCGCCGCGGCGCCAGCGGCTACCCACAGGCGACATGGTCGGGCTCCGCGCGATGAGCGGCGGAGAGAAGGGAGAAAGGAGGGAGGCGAGGGAGGGAGGGAGGGAGGGAGGAGGGGAAAGCAGAAGGATTCCTGGGGGGGATCAGGGGCCTACACAGACTCCAACGGCTTGTGAGATATTGTTGCAGGGGTCTGACGGACTCTGTCAGGTTTGATGGGTGAGCTGGGAGGAGTGAAGTAATGAGGGAGGAGGACGGAGAAAGGGAGGAGGAGGAGGACGAGGAGGAGGAGTAGAGGAGAAGGAGGAGGAGATAGGCGATGGGCGTAAAGAGGGAGGGGGACGGAGGAGAACGAGGGGTTCTGAGGGGAGGGGCGGAGATCAACAGGGGGTGTGCGTAGGTTGTGTGGCTACTTGTATGAAGAAAGTCTCCCGCCTCGGAGGAGGGTTTTCCCAGCACCAACGTGAACACTGATGACGATCGATTTCTTATTGTATGTAAGAGCCTTGGGTCGTCTTGGATCCAGTCAAGGGTGTATGAGAATCCTGAGGCCACGGGAACATTCAATTTGCTGGAACGGATCTATGAGAATCAGCGTCCTCGACGCAAAGGGAAATTGATCCACGGAGCCCTGAATTGGCAATCCAATGCAGGGGTTCTGCGAGGGAGAGGTTGCTCCTGCAGAGGAGGAGAGGAATACGAAGAGGACACTGGGAGGAAGAGGAGAGTAGGACGGGTCGGAGGCGGACGACGATGACGACGATAATGAGTCTGAACAGGAGGAGACTCACGAGGATGAGGAGAAGGAGCAGGAGGGGAAGGCGTCATCAGGAGGAGGACGATGACGATGAGAAGCAGCAGTAGGACGAGGAAAAGGACGAGGAGGAGGAGGAGGAGGAGGAGGAGGAGGAGGAGGAGGGGCCCCCGCGCGGGTGGCGCGCCCGCGTTGCCCGCAGGGCTTCAGCCAGGAGGCTCTGGGCCGCACGCGCACAGGCAGCAGACCCCGCCCACCCGTGCGCCCGAGCGCGCCCCGCCGCACGCGCGCGTCTGTGCCTCCCGCGAGCTCGCGGAAGCTCACTGGCCAACAAGGCGGCCAGTCCGCCTCGCGGGCCCACCGGCCGGCTACACCTGGCGGCGCGCACAAGGGGGCAGGGGGAGGGGGGTTTCTTGGAAGCAGCCTGCTTAGAAGGCGCCAGCCTTGCATCTATTTCAAAGGCGCCGGCCTTGCATCTATAGATAAGGCCCGCGCCTTCTCAGAAGCAGGGGTGCTTCTAAGAAGCCCTCCGCCCTCCCCCTACCCCCCTCTGCGCGTGGCCGCTGCACCCTTGGAGTCAGCGGGCGCGGCGCAGAGGTGCGAGAGAGGTCAGGCGCTGGTCGGGCTACAGGCGGGACGCGCCGAGAACTCATCGAGGCGCAGCAGGGGGGGAGGAAGGAGAGGAGAGAACGGCGACAGGGCGGGAGCCGCTCAGAACATGCAGTCCGCCGGGGGGGGGGGCGAGGGTGCTACCGGCCACTTACACGCAAGAGCTGCCGAGGGCAAGAGTGACCTCCCGCCCTGGCCCGGCAGCATCCGAGCCCCGCGTGCGGATGGGGAGCAGCGGGAGGAGGGCGGGATCGCAGCTGCACCTGCGCCCTCCCAGGCGCCGCCGCGGCCGCCGCCGTCGCCCTCGTCTTCGAGCTCGCCTTAGGTCGGGCATGTCCCCTACAGGGGGATCTTGGACGAAACATAGAAATAGCAAAAAAAAAAATATGTTCAAACATAATACAATGTCTTTTTTTTAATCGTACCCAAATGTTTTCTGGACTATTTTTGAAATATTCCTCCTGTAGAGGGACATGCCCGACTTAAAGCTCGCCCTCGTCGTCCTCGTCGGAGGTCGTCGCCGCGGGGCAAAGTTGACTACCTACCAGACCACCCCAACCCAACCCGAAGACACGAATTTCGCCCGAATTTCGGGTTGGGGGGGGGTACGGGCTGCAAATGCTTTTTCAATGTTCTCCGATCCCCACCCCCACCGGAAATGGAGGGCAAATCGGGCCCTTCCGGTCGGGCTGGAGTGGTCTGGTGGGCGGTGAAAGGTGGCGTCAGACCAGCGCCCGCCGCAGAGCGAGAGAGCCCCGAGATCCGGGCGCTGCAGTTCTTCCACGCCGGGCGTTGTCGCCCAGTCTCCGGCCCCGGGGTCATCACCTGTCGATGCGGCCCGAAGAACGCCGCAGAGCGGTGGGGTCTCGGGGCTCTGGTCGTGGCCTTTCGCGACGTTGCTCGCTTTTGCAGCGTCGGATCTCAGGGAAGGGCCCCGAGCCCCCCTCCGAGGCGCTTGCAGCGGGCCCCGCGTGGCCAGCGCCCTGGGGGCCGTACGCCGTCACCTGCTCCTGCTCCGCGCGCGAGGGGCGGGTGGGCATGGCTCCCACTGCGGTGTTCCAACCTACTCGAGCCTTGGTCACCAGAGAGAGTTTCTAGCACCAAAAAAAATACCGAAACTCGATGGTTTTCACGTGTCGGGCCCTGGGAGACACTCGTCCGACACTGTTTCGACACTGCTTCGACACTTTTCCGGGTACTCGAAACTATTTCTTGGATAGGGCCCTCAAGTACGATGGGAGCAACATAAAGTGAGGGGTGGGGGTAAGGAGCGTCGGGCGGATTGCTACGGGCAGGCAAGAAACGGGGGCAATCACGAGCGCGCGAGAGTGAGTCCGAAGGGGCCACTGCCACCTGCCCCCCCGCTCGAAACGACGATTGAAAGGGGGGAGAGGTGCGCCTTTCGACGCCCGCCCTTAGTTGCACCCCCCGTTGCCGTCCGCCAGAGTGCCAGGGAGGTGGGAGAGGGGTGCGTTGTGCACTCACCATCAGCACCATCATTTAACCACGATCACCACGAGCTCATCAGGGATCCTTGTGCTATTTGTGCAATCCTGTAGGACAAGAGGGAAAGAGAGAAGGAGAGAGACAGAGAGAGAGAGAGAAGGGGACAGGTGAAGGACCACATAAGCAGTAGTACCTTACGTGTGGAGGGGGAGGAGGGATAGGTAGAGAAAGAGAGAGAGAGAGAGAGACAGAGAAAGGGGGAGAGAGAGAGAGAGAGAAACAAGAAGAAGGGGGAATACATACATACATACATACATACATACATACATACATACATACATACATACATACATACATACATATATATATATATACACTAGAACCATCGCGCGCGCTTCGCGCGCGCTCAGGTTCCAGCCCAGGCCGGGGGGGCGCTGGACGATCTTGGACGTCGCTATCAAGCACAGGCGCGCGACGGCATCTGAGGAGCTTCTGGGGTGTTCCGCATGCTTCGTCAACTGGCTGTTGGAGGCACCTCTTGGGTGCTTCTTGGGGGGGCGTCTGAGGGTCCCTTGGGGGCATCGGTTCTGCAATCTGAAGCCGTCATTGGCCGTCTTGGCTGCGTGGAGGCCCGACTTGAGGCCACCTGCGGCCAAATTGAGGCAATCCGGAAGCCTCCCGGGGGCCTCCTGGAAGCAGTTTTGACGCATCGAGGGCACTCTTGGGCTATTTTAAGACCTCTTGGACGTCTCCTGGGGGCCTTTTAGGCTCGGGAAGCTTTTGGCGTCCTCGTCGGACCACTTGAGGGCCTCTTGCGGCCTCCTGTGGGTCTTTTGGGGGGGAACGCTCTGCTGTTGGGTCGCGTTCCCCTTCTTGGGCCTCTCTTGGGGCTCTTGGGGCCCTCTCGGGCCGTCTTGGGCGCCTGAAGCACCGTCTTGGGGCCCTCGCGGGCCGTCTTGGGGCCCTCTTGGAGGCCTCTTCCTCTATATTGGAGCGGTATTGGAAGCCTCTTGGGCCGTGTTGGAGCATCGGGATGCCAAAAGGCCGAAAAAATTAAACCCGTCAAAGCCCAATCGTAAAACAATAAGTTGTGCCTCTTGGGACCACCTTGGGAGATCTCTTGGAACCTCGTCGGCCCTCTTGGGAGCTTCTTGGGGGCCTCTTGGATCCGATTGGGGGCCCCTTGGGACTTCCCGAGAACCTCTCGGGGTAGAAAGCTCGGATTCTCGGTTCGTGCTTCCCTTCTTGGGCCTCTCTTGGGGCCGTCTTGGGGCCCTCTCGGGCCGTCTTGGGCGCCTCGGGCACCGCCTTGGGGCCCTCGTGGGCCGCCCAGGGCCCTCGTGTAAGCCTCTTCAGCTATCTTGGAGCTGTCATGGAGACCTCTTCCTCCTCCTCGTCCCCCTCCTCCTCTTCCCACTCCAACTCTCTCTCCTCCTGATCTTCCTCCTCCTCCTGCAGCGTGTTCCGGAAGGCTCTCGCCGGAACATGCTGTGCACAAGTGCTGTCACTGCTCCCGCCACCGCGCCCTGGGTGGTGGGTCAGAGGCCTCATGGGTGATGGTTTGGATCTCGTGGTTGGCCTGTCGGGGACGTCGTGAAGGCAGTTTCGCAGTTTCTCGGTAGCCGTTTTGGGACCGTTGTGGGGCCTCCTCGGGGCTGTTTTGTGACCTCTTTAGGCCTCGTTTGGGCCTCCTGGGTGCCTCTTGGGGGCCTGGGGCCTCTTGGGGGCTCCTTGGGGCCTCCTGGGGGACTCTTCAAGCCGGAGGGTCGAATTTTGGAGTCGTGGTCCCCGTCTTGGGCGCATCTTGGGGCCGTCTTGGGGTTCTGTTGGGCTGTCTTGGGCGACTCTGGGGCCCTCTTGGGGCCCTCTTGGGCCGTCTTGGGGCGCTCCTTGGGGCCTATTGAGCCGTCTTGGAACGTCGGACAGCCGAAAAGGCTGGAAGGCCAAAATCGTTCGAAGACCTTCGTAAAATTGACGATTTCGGCCTCTTGAAGCGCTCTGGAGAGGCGTCTAGAAGCGCCGTGGAATGCCTTGGGGGGCCTCTCGGGCCGTCTTGGGCCTATCTTGGGCGTCCTGGAGCGGTCTTTCGGCGACTCGGGGCCCGCTTGGGCCGTCTTGGGGCTCTCTTCGCCCGTCTTGGGCGCGTTTTGGGCCGTCTTGGGGCCCTCCAGAGCCGTCTTGAGCCCCTCTTGGAGGCCTATTGGGCTCGCTTGGGGCGTCCGCGGGGGGCCTTTGAGCCGTCGTGGAGCGTCGGAAAGCTGAGAAGGCGGGAAAAGCAAAATGTGTCCAAAACCTTCGAACAATTAACGATTTTGGCCTCTTGGGGCCCTCTGGGGGGGCCTCTTGGAGGCCTCTTGGAGCGTCTTGGGGGCCTCTTTGGCCGTCTTGGGCTTATCTTGGGCATCTTGGGGCCCTCTTGGCGCCCTCTTGGGCCTCTTGGAGCCTGCTGGGCCTGTCGTGGAGCGCTCTTGGGGCACTCTTGGGCCGCCTGGGCTGCTCCAGGGAGGCTCCAGGCCCCCCCCCCGTCCCGCCATGGGGGGTCGAGGCACCTGTCCTGGGGCCCCCGGCCTCGCCCCCAGGGATATATATATATATATATATATATATATATATATTATATATATATATATATATGTAGACAACGAGAGAAAGGGAGGAAATAGAGAGAGAGAGAGAGAAATAACGAAAACAAGCAAAAAAGAGGAAGAGAAAAAGAGAGAGCGAGAGAGAGAGAGAAAGACAGAGAGAGAGAGAGAGAACAAGAGAGAGAGAGAGGGAAAAGGAAAGGCACGGACTCATAAGTGAACGAGCACTAGAGCATGAGAAAGAGGCAAAGGTGGCAGGACTGAGCACCCAGACGGATCCCAGGAACAAAAGTATTCCATGTCAGGCGAGGAGATCGTTTTTGTGACTCTGGGGGTTAACGGTCGTTACCGGGAGGGGGGGGAGGTTCTGGGCCCTGGGTGACGGTAACGCTTGGGCGGGGGGGTGGGGTTCGTCGGGGCGGGGGCGCGCTGCGATCGTCACAGTTCGCGCCCGAGCAGCACTCTATGCCTGCGGGCACAACAGTGGCCTGCAATTCAATCATGCGCACAAAACTTGAGAGCACCAGCGAGGCACATGCGAGCACCGCAATGGCCTGCGGGCACCCAGTGTGCGCCTGCGACAACCATACCATAACGCGAACACCGACCTGTGTCGGAATCGTTGTCGGCATCGTTGGAGACGCCGTCGCAGCCGTCATCATCGAAATCGTAGTCTGAATTATCGGCGTCGCCGTTGGAGTCGAGGGGGTCGTCGCTGGAGTCGTCGCCGTTTCCGTTGCCGCCGTCGCCGCTGCCGCCGCAACCGCCGCCGGCGCCTTCGTCGTCGTCGTCGTCGTCATCGTGTTCGTCGTGGTCGTCGTCGTCGTCGTCAGCGTCGGAGTCGCCGTCAAAATCGTCATCGGCGGGATTGTCAGCGTCATCGTCGTCGTCGTTGTCGACTTCGTCGTCATCCGAATCGTCGTTGTCGTCGTTAGCGTCGGAGTCGCCGTCGTCGTCGTCGTCGTCGTCGTCGTCGTCGTCGTCGTCGTCGTCGTCGTCGTCATCGTGGTCGTCGTCGTCGCCGCCAGCGTCGTCCTCATCGCCGTCGTCGAAATCGTCGTCAATTCGACCCCCCCTCTCGTGGTGGACGACCCTCCGCCGAACTCACCCGAGGCGGTCTGGGCTCCCTGGGCTCGGTTGGGAGCCTCCGACGCCACCCACAAGATGGCCCAAGAAAGCACAAAGTCGCCGAATGATCGCTTCAAGACGCCCATGGTGGGCCCCAGGCGGCCTAAGAGGGCGCCACGACGCTCCAAGAGGCCTCCAACCGGCTGCCGAAGCGGGGCCCCAGAGGCCAAAATCGTGCAATTCCTATAGGAAAACGTTCATTTTTGGCATATACGCCTTTTCGGCCAACACGGCGTTGACAATGGCCCACGAGGCCGCCAAGACCGCTCCAAGAGGGCCCAAGAGGCTCCCAAGAGGGCCCCAACACGGCCCAAGAATTCGCCAAGACGGCCCAAGAGGCGCCCAAGACAGCCCAAGAGAACCCCCAGGCGGCCCCAAGAGGGGCCCAAGAAGGGGAGCCCGAACCGAAAATCCGAGCCTTCCGCTCCCGGAGGCCCCCAAGAGGGCCCAAGGGAGCGGCCGAAGGCACCAAGAATCCGTCAAGACATCCCCAAAGGCCCCCCAGTACGCCTCTCAGGAAACACTAAGATACCAAAATCGCCGAATTCATTTTCCTTGACCTCCTTCTTCTCCTCTTCCTCCACCGCATCCTCCTCCTTCTCCTCCTCCTCTCCCTTTCTACCACATCGCCTGGTCAAACAAAGCCCAACACAACGCATGGCGGAATGGGCGGCAGCCGCGGTGCCCACGGCCTGCAGCCACGATGGACAACCCCTGAGGCCTCCCAAGAAGCCCCCAAGACAGTCCAAGAGAACCCCGACTCGCCGAAAGACCGTTCCAAGACGCCCAAGACGGCATCCAGACAACCCACGATGCCCCTAGGCCGCCCCGCAAAGCCTCCGAGAGAGCTCCCGAGACCCGGCGATAGCCCCTGATGAAGAAAAAGAGGCGGGTCGGCGGATGTGGCGTAAGCCTATAGAATCGTCGTCATCGGAATCGTCTTCGTCGTCGTGCTACTCCTCCTCATCGTCGTCCTCCTCCTCGTTTTCCTCGTCCTCCTGCTCCTCCTCCTCCTCCTCCTCCTCCTCCTCCTCCTCCTCCTCCTCCTCCTCCTCCTCCTCCTCCACGTGCTCGTCCTCCTCGTCCTCCTCGCGTTCCTCCTCGTCCTCCTCGTCCTCCCCCCACTTCTCCTCCTCGTCCTCCTCCTCCCCGCCCCCCTCCCCATCCCCCCCGTCGCCCCCCCCCGGCAGGGAGGCTGCGAGTGCAGCCTGGGCACCCGGAGCCTCCACCAAAAGGACCAACAAACCTCTGCCGTGGCCACGGAGGGCCTCTCGACCATCGGCAGGTTCCCCCGTCGATTGAGCGAGGAACGGCCCCCGAGGAACGGCCCCCAGAGCGGCCCTTGAGGGAGGGAGGGAGGGAGGGAGGGAGGGAGGGAGGGAGGAGGAGGGGGAGGAGGAGGAGGAGGAGGAGGAGGAGGAGGAGGAGGAGGAGGAGGAGGAGGAGGAGAAGGAGCAGGAGGAGGAGGAGAAGCGAGGAGGAGCGAGGAGGGGCGAGGAACGGCCCCAAAATGAACTTCAAGAGCAGGCGGACGGCGATGGTGAGCAGGGCCACCGAAGACGACCACGAGGATGACGACGACGACGACGACGACGACGACGACGACGACCACGACGACCACGACGACCACGACGACGGCTGGGCGGCAGCGACGGCGGCGGTGGCGACGACGAACGACGAGGTTGACGACGGCGGCGACGGCGGCCGCGGCGGCGACAGGATAGAAACCGTCACCACGCTTGCAGCGGCGTGTGCGTGTCGGACCCTTACCTCACTTGTGCTGCTCCTTACCTCCCTCGTCCTTCTTCGTCGTCACCGTCCTCCTCCTCCTCCTCCTCTGCCTCCTCCTCTGCCTCCTCCTCCTCCTCCTGCTCCTCCTCCTCCTCCTCCTCCTCCTCCTCCTCCTCCTCCGTCTCTCGCGAACATCACATTCACCTGCGAACGCTGCAACGTGCCCGCGAACATCACACCGCATGCGAGCATCACGCACATGTACAACAACACGCCAGAACCTGTCATGAACGAAAAAGAGCGAGCAATTCAACGCGTGCTCAAGCACCACGAACAAGCCTGCGTGTGCCACGGTAACAGATGAGAGTCGCAGTAGACCTGTGAGCAACACAACATGCCTTCGGGCACCTGCATGTCGGGGGGGTCCAGCCCCCCCCCCAAGTACGGTCGCTACCGTTACCCAGGGGGGAGGGCTGGTGCGGGTAACGAGCGTTAGCCGCCAGAGGGTAAACAAAACCAATCTCCAATGCAACCTCCGAGCTTACTCGCGACACTGGCGTGCGCCACGAGGGAGCCACTCTCTACGCAAAAGGGTCGGCACCTGGAAGCCCTACTCCCGCACCCGCCGCGTGCGAGCTCTGTCTCGGAGGTGCGGGGCACGAGCACTCCAAATTCGGAGAGCGAGATGGAGAGAGAAGTGGCCGGTCAGCGGAGGAGGAAGAGGGGAGCGCCGTCAGCCACAAGATGTTCGCCAGCTAATCAGCTGCCCACTAGTCGAGTTGCGGGCCGTCTCCAAGCAGCGGCGCCCACAAAAAATAGTCCCTCGAAGCGCTCTCTGGTGCGGCGGCCACGGCAGAGGAGCTGGTAGGAGGGCCAGCAGATCGGGGCAAAAGTCCCTGCGCACTGCACGAGTGCTCAGAAGCGCAGCCATGATGTGCTTAGACCGCTCAACTGCCATCGGGACCCATGACGACTCTCCTTCCGCTCGTCTCACTGTCGCCCCTGCCCCTCCCTGTCCTCCTCTTCCTCCTCCTTCTCCTTCCCTCCTCCTCATCCTCCTCCTTCCTCGTCCTCCTCATCCCCTCTGACCTGCCCCTTTCAGTGCGGCTTGCACCCCAGTGAGTCAATTCTCATGTCCCCAAATCTCTAACACACAATCCTTCCCCTGCGCAGGCAAGCAGGTGCGTGTCCGGAAGGTTGAAGCTCCAGAGGGGAGCCTCATTGGTGGCCTGGTCAGGAGGGGCAGTGGAGAAGGCAGAAATAATGTTGCGGTGCACGGACGACGCGAGCACAAAGAAATACAACTCATGTAGTTCCGCTGGCAGCTCGTTCACGGACACTCGTTCGAGTAGGCAGCAAGGCCACTTTGGAGGTTCCCCTGGCAAGGTTCCTCTGGGGGAGGACCTTGGCCATAGCTTTCCATAATAACAGTATATCGCTCCAGGCAGAGAAGCCAGAAATTGGACGCTATCTTTCGTGTGCAGCTGCAGCCGTGTAGGCAACGTCGAGCGGCCCCCAAAGAGAAGCGGAATGACTCGAGGCCGACTGGACCAGCGGCGCGCCGTTCCGAGACGCTTGAAGGTTGCACACCGACCGCTCGATGCCTTCCGCGCTGCCCCCTGGTCGTCCTACAGCTGAAGGCGGGGAAGCAGGGCCGGCCAGAGCGTGGCCTCCTCTCCTAGTCCTCCTCCTCCTCCTCCTCCTCCTCCTCCTCGCACCACTAAGCGTGCGGCGGGCCGGGCGTCTCGCCCGAGACGTCTGAAGCATTGATGGACTTGAAGCTGGAACACTTCACTAGCGACGGGGATACGGTCAAGAACTTTTGGACAACGTGTCGCCGCGGCCGTTTCCGCGAGACGCTATGCCCTGCGAGCAGATAGCGTGTCGCTCCGCTCGGCGGGGCGGGAGGCTCGGGAAAGCTGGAGACGTTGACGCTGGGTGGCCAGGAAGTGGATAGCGCGTCGCGCCGCAGCGTGGTGGGCAAGAACTGGCGGAGCGACACGCTATCACTGGTTATCATAATGTGGCTACTATCTTAGTGCAGCGCGCACTGGTCTCAAAAGCTCCGAGCAATTGCATGGATGGAAGTCGGTTCCCTCCCGAACTGCGGCTCTCGCCTTCACGCCGTGTACACTCGTTCAAACCAGCTCCCAGCAACTGCACGGATGAAGGGAAGGTCGTTCTGACAAGCGGGCTCTCGCTTGCGGCTCTCTCAGGGCTGACCAGAAGCCGAGCATGTGCAGAAGCTGCACGGATGGAGAGCGACGCCTTTGCAGCACAGGGCTCTCTCTGGACACTTCCTTGACTGTTCTGGCCCAGCCTCTTTGCTGCATGTCTGGCAGATGGATCACACTGAACGCGGGCCTGCTCCGAAACGTGGCCCCCCCTGTGTGCACGGCAGGCACACGAGGGGCGCTGGTCTTGCAGGGCGGCACCACCCGCAGGGACGAGGCACGCGTGCGCGCAGTGCCGAGGAGGGGGCACGGGACCTCCTTTCTCTGCTCCCCCCTGTCTGTCCAGGCCAGCCATGGCGACGACACGGCCCCGTCGTGGCGGCCAACAAGCGGAGTGTACCCCAAGGCAGTATGCGAGGACTGCAGCAAGGAAATGGTAAGTCCTGCCGGCGCCGCTCGATGGCGCTCGCGAGTGCAAATGGCAGCGTGCAGACAGAAGCGAAGGCGGCGGTTGGGACAAGATGCCAACGTGCAGCCACATACGCGCGGTCAGGGTGAATCGAAGCTGCGACGCTGAACGGTACTTAAGCACAATATTAGAACATGGAGGTCAGCGAAGGCAACGGCAGAGGCATGCCGCTGAAGTGGAGTCACGTGCCTAGCTGAATTCACCCAATGGGACACGCTCTGCTGTCTCACCCGCTGTCCTTCGCAAGCCAGAAAGTCGGCAAACGTGTGCGCGCTGACATATGCACCGAGCGAGGGCGCGTCTGGAAGCCTGCTGACTCAGCGCGGAGCAAGCTGGGAGCTGCACGTAGCCGATGGTAGTGTAGCCTGTCAGCGAGACATCTGGCAAACACGACCGCCACGGCGCCCCGATCTACCATCCTCTGCTATGAACCGGGGCGCGCCCTCTTTCCATGGGAGCGGGTAGACAGACCAGTTGAGAAGCGCAGCGAGTCAGCATGATATTGTGATGGCCTCCTCTCCCGTATGACCGAAGTGCGTGTGCTCTTCTGCTTCCTCTGATGATATAGACGTGTTTGGAATGGGTGGGTTGACGACGACGGCGAACATATTTTGAGACAGGTCTAGGCCCAGATCCTTGTAGTGCCCAGACAGAAACTTTATCAATCTCTTAGGCCAAGTGCCATGATCAGGACATAGCCTTCGGAGTCGGACATTCAATGCAACGCGCCATGACGTAGTCCCTCAGCCAGCCTATAACCGTGCTCAGACCACATGACCCCTCTAGGAGTATCAACATGTCCAGACGAGAAGCATTGCTACAGAACCGCATGTAAGACTTTGAAGCAACATTTCGAATACTTCTTTCAACTGTGACGACTACTCAAATGATAACAATCTCCTGCAAGTTGTCACCCTGGTCAAATACGAAAGAAACCGTGTGCCACCAATGCTGCACAAATGCCGCAATCTTCACGTTTCCCAATGGATTATCGGCATGCCGCGAACGCCACGTTCAACATACTGTGTTTTTCTCGGCACTACGCGATCGATTGCTGTGGCATTCCAGCTTCAACCAGATATCAGGAGCCCCGTGAGTGTAGCACCAGCATGGTGCGATATTGGCTCAATCTCTCCGCGACGACGAAGCCTTGCCGCAGTCTAGCTCAAGGTAGCTCAGGGTCAAATCGTCGCCACACGCTTGGACTGAACGGCAGGAAATGTCCCCAGTGGCGTCGAATACATACCTCCCGCACGCATACATACACTCACCTACTGCTGGGGAAGAGATGTTGCAAGACAGGCTTTGGGCTAGGGCCAAAGTCGTTAAATCTAATTCGGTTTGCGGATGTTGTGCTCTCCAAGCTTTGCGGGCCAAGATTGCCCAAAGAGGCCCACCAGACGGGGCCAGAGATAGCCCAAGATGACTCATATACCTCCCTCGAGGGTGTCCACGTGCGTAAGCCTCTCGTGCCAGTCAGTCAGGTGCCACAGACGTAGGAACGCGTGTATAAACAACTCCCTCCCGACATGCCAACATACCTCCCTCCGTACCTGCATGTTCCTTCGTCCTGGCGGGAACCGGAGTCTCATTCTCCCCGCTACCCCTGAAATCCGACGTTGCCCAAACGATGCAACATCGGGAACAATCACGACCGGAGCCCTGGACCCCATCTTTCCGAGGCATTTTTCGAGCCGGATCGATCTGTCGGCGCCCTCTGCGTCCGCTCGCGCGCTCGCGGCCTGGCGGCGGGATCGGCTGCAAGAACCTGCAGCGCGGGACGCCCGGCGCCTCTGCTTCCGCCGCTGCCACGACCGCGCCTGTCTCCTCTGCACCTTGCACTTCCCCTCCCCGAAGCCATAGCAGCGTTCTCATCCTGTCTCTCTTCCTCGTCCTGCTCCTTCGCTTCCACCTGATCCTCCCCCTCTCTTCCTCCTAGTCCTCGTCCTCGACACTGTCACACTTTGGCCATAGATGTCGCTCATGCACAACACACGGATGCGCAAACAATGGACCCAGCTCAATCCCAAGAAAATGATGCGTTCTGATCGAGACAAGCTGCGAACAAGCTACACGTAGTTACTAAATATAGGGCGACAGGCTGGCTGAAGCTTTGAACGGCGCTGCGTTGCATTAGGATTACCTTGCTGTTTTTTACGTTGAGTCGCCGTGCAACACAAAGCTTTGCAATCGCTATCGCATTAATCGTGTTGCATGGCACTCGACGGAATTGTATGGCATCGTTGTCCCTTGCATGCGATGTTTGCTTTCCTTGTTGCTGAGCTGAGCTGAGCGAGCTGTGCGCTGCTTTGCCTTGCGCTGCTTCGTTTTGCTTTGATGTGCTTTACACTTTACATATGATGCAAATTGATGTTCTTTGCTGTGCTTCGCATTACTTTGATTGTGAGTTTGAAGTGACTCAGTGTGCTTTGCTTTGCTGTGGAGCGCAGTGGAGTGCAATGCGATGCTTCACACCTGTGCTTCTTTGCGTCGTATTGCACTCAATCGCGCATGGAACAATGCAGAGCGATGCAAGCCAAAGCCAGACGGAGCAATGCCCTGCAAAGCTTCGCAGTGCTCACTTCCCGCCGCACGGGGGGAAACCAAAAGGTACCGATACCATGACTCCCCGGACCTCTCCCAGCGTGCGTTCTGACCAGAAGTTCGAGACGAACCCAACAGTTTTTGAGCTCCACGCCCAGCGCCTCTGAAGCCTGACAACAGGCATCCACACTAGCAACGGAGGGAGGCAGGCGAATCCAGCGGCGGCGACGAGGACCTCCTACAAGGCCCAAAAAAGGGGAAGACGAGGGAAAGGCAGTAGTATGCCCATACATCTGGCCGCTCCAATTTTTTCGATGCGTGGGCCCCGAAGGTCTGGACCACTTCCCTGGGACATTTGTTTCGTCCTGAGTCGTTTCTCGACGGTCCCGAGACCCGGCGAGGGCCCCTGGAGGCCGAAAACGGATCAAAACACCCCGCTCCAACTTTTTTCGGAGCGTCGGATCTCTGGGTGGGTACCGCTTCCTCCTCTGCGGACGTTGCCACTTGAGGTGCGCTGGAGCAGCAGGACGGACGGGCTCTGGGCACGCCCGCGCCCCTGGCAGACTTTGGACCGATCGCTCGCACATCTCGCGAGAAACATCTACACTCTCCCTACTTTGTATTGCCGGTCTTCAAACTTCTTGGTTGATCCCTTCTTCGCAAATATTTTTCAATGTTCTAGCCTGCGGTCAGCTGTTCCTGCTGTACAGCTTGACGCGCCCCCGGCAAGCCAAGTCCGGCCCAGGCTGGGCACAACGCGTGCGGTCATCCATGCCGTACGGCAGGCTCGAGTCGTGACGAAGTGGGCATTCCCAGAGATCCGACGCTCCAAGCAGAATTCGAGCGGAGTGTTTTGGGCGGTTTTCGGCATCCAGGGGCCCTCGCCGGGTCTCGGGACCGTCAAAAAACGACTCAGGACGAAAAACCCGCCCCAGGGAAGTGGTCCAGACCTTCGGGGGCCCACGCATCGAAAAAATTGGAGCGGCTGGATGTCTGGGTTGGTTTCTGGCAACGCGCGGATATTTCAGCCTTGCAGGATCGCGGCTCTCCGAACGCGCAGATAGTTCGATGTTCGATGCATGGCCGCCTGCGGCATTCAACCTGGAACGCCCGCGGTGCGGCCGTCGCCAGGTCAATACGACACGAACCTGTCGTACGCCAGGTGCGTGCCGCCTATCGTGGTGGCAAGGGTGCCCGTCGGCCTTCGGGCCCTGTGCATCACGGCATAGCAGGAGATTGGACAACATCCGTGGCGAAGGAGGCCACATCCGCACCCTTCCACATCTCGAGGGTCATATGGCGAGTTCCGGAAACCCTAAACCAAAACATGTTGTCATCTCTTTGGAGGCCGATTTTTGCGTCCGACGGCTTCCGCCGACTTACACTTCCGCCGCCTTCCGACGCCGCCGAGCGGTGACTGCACCTTCATACCAGCGCGGCACTCCCGCCATCCTGCGCCCCATCGCCTGGAGTAAGCGGACGTCCATATATGACCCGACAATTTCGACTCACCGTCGGCACCGTATTCACAAGGGCACGGCAGCAGCACTGTTCTGCCTTCTCTCCTGGTCTGGTCCTTGCTGGTGGCGGAGCCTGTCCAGGACCCGAATGGAGAAGGCAGAGGGGGAGGAGTGGGGGCCCTGAGGCAGCAGGCGTCTGCACCCCAAGGACTATCTTGCAGGGCTACCCTTTTCTTCGGCATGGCTCAGCCTTCTCATGTGGAAGATCAAAAACCGGCATAAGCATGAACTTTTGACGATCCGCGCGGAGCGCCAACAGTTTATGCTTATGCCGTCTTTTTTGATGATCATCCCTGTCCCTGTCCTCGTCCTCGTCCTTGTGCTCGCCTTCCTCCTCCTATGTTCGTGTACCCCTCATACCGCCCCCTCCTTGTCGTCAAGTGCCGTCTGCCACTCAAGGTCCCAAGGTAATTATCCTCATCCTCATCTGGGCGATCCGGAAAGACCTCACCATGTCATCATCTGTTGACACTAGACAAGAGCGTTCCACTACTCGTAAAATTATTGCGAAGGCCTTACGGCCGGTGCCGCCGACCCTGTTCGCAATGCGCAGCAAGAGGCACGGGCTGTGGGAGGGTTTTGGGGAACGGGGAGAAGGACGAGAAGGTGGGGGAGGGAGGTGTCGTATCTGACCCGGGACTTCCCCGGGACTCCCCCGGGACCCCCCCCGGGACCCCCCCTCCCCCCCCCGTCGGGGAAGGGAAAGGGAAGGGGCTTCCCTTCGACTCAATTACGACGTTGCTCAAGGTCGGTACGGGGGGGGGCGTCGTATCTGACCCGGGGGGTCGACTCAATTACGACGTTGCTCAAGGTCGGTACGGGGGGGGGGCGTCGTATCTGACCGGGGGGGGGGTCGACCCCCCCCCCCCTCCCGGCGGGGGAGGGATCAAAGGGAAGGGGCTTCCCTTCGACTCAATTACGACGTTGCTCAAGGTCGGTACGGGGAGGGGGCGTCGTATCTGACCCGGGGGGGGGGTCGCTACCCCCCCCCCCTCCCGGCGGGGGAGGGATCAAAGGGAAGGGGCTTCCCTTCGACTCAATTACGACGTTGCTCAAGGTCGGTACGGGGGGGGGCGTCGTATCTGACCCGGGGGGGGGGTCGCTACCCCCCCCCCCTCCCGGCGGGGAAGGGATCAAAGGGAAGGGGCTTCCCTTCGACTCAATTACGACGTTGCTCAAGGTCGGTACGGGGGGGGGGCGTCGTATCTGACCCGGGGGGGGGGTCGCTACCCCCCCCCCCCCTCCCGGCGGGGGAGGGATCAAAGGGAAGGGGCTTCCCTTCGACTCAATTACGACGTTGCTCAAGGTCGGTACGGGGGGGGGGCGTCGTATCTGACCCGGGGGGGGGGGTCGCTACCCCCCCCCCTCCCGGCGGGGGAGGGATCAAAGGGAAAGGGCTTCCCTTCGACTCAAGTACGACGTTGCTCAAGGTCGGTACGGGGGGGGGGCGTCGTATCTGACCCGGGGGGGGGGTCGCTACCCCCCCCCCCCTCCCGGCGGGGGAGGGATCAAAGGGAAGGGGCTTCCCTTCGACTCAATTACGACGTTGCTCAAGGTCGGTACGGGGGGGGGGCGTCGTATCTGACCCGGGGGGGGGTCGCTACCCCCCCCCCTCCCGGCGGGGAGGGATCAAAGGGAAGGGGCTTCCCTTCGACTCATTACGACGTTGCTCAAGCTCGGTGCGGGGGGGGGGCGTCGTATCTGACCCGGGGGGGGGTCGCCCCCCCCCCCTCCCGGCGGGGGAGGGATCAAAGGGAAGGGGCTTCCCTTCGACTCAATTACGACGTTGCTCAAGGTCGGTACGGGGGGGGGGCGTCGTATCTGACCCGGGGGGGGGGTCGCTACCCCCCCCCCCCTCCCGGCGGGGGAGGGATCAAAGGGAAGGGGCTTCCCTTCGACTCAATTACGACGTTGCTCAAGGTCGGCTTGGCTGGAGCCCAGGGGAAGAGGAGTCCCAGGGAAAGGGAAGGACAGAGACGACGAGTGCAAAGAATAACGGAGATGACGGCTCGAACGGAAAAGCCCCTCACACACGCCGACAGGGTCGGCGGATTATTCACAAACGGCCTGGATCCGCCGCGGGAGATTTACGATCCATTACATCAAGAAAGACATGCTTTTCTGACGTTTTCGAGTAGGCACCTTGCGAGTAGTAAAACGCACTCGGTGAGACACCAACAGGTCCAGTGACAGTATGCTGGGACCTTGGCTCATACGACCCCTGCCTCACATCCGCACCTTCTCCCCTGCGCAGGTGCCCACATCGCTCCCGCGACGAGCCGACGTCGCCCCGGCGCTGACGCCGGCCAAGAGACGAAGCCAAAGGAAGAGGTAATAAGCGGAGCAGACGCGCCGGGTCCCTCTAATTCGACACGCGCACGACGTCCTCGACCCCGTGCGCTTCTCATCGACACCCATCGCTCGGAAGCAGCGGGAGGGCGCTGAAAGTGGATCTGGTTCTCGCCCGCGCCCCGAAAGGGAAGGGAAAGAGGGGAAGCCGCTGGCTTCCTGAAGCTGGAGAACGCTCGAAATAGGCTGGAGTCTGGGGATCATCTGTGCCCATGTCGAGGCATTCCGCTCCCCACCTTCGGTGGCAACTCATGGGAGCCTCCCATACCATCTTGTCCGCCCTTGCGAATCGACGCTAGTCGACGCTAAATCGACGCTAATCGACGCTAAATCGACGCTAATCGACGCTAACCGACGCAACATCGACGCTAACCGACGCTAGATCGACGCTAAATTGACGCTGTACACGGAATGAAGAAGGCATACCGGGCTCCCGTGATCTGCTATCGAACCCGCTGCCCCCCCCAAAAAAAAGCGGCGGGCGGCCCTGGCTGAGCGTAGCCGTCCGCGGCGGAGTCGGCCACGAAGCCGACGCGGGCCTCCCGGCCCCCCTTTGGGAGGAGGGGCCAAGACAGAGCGGGCGGCCGCCGCCGCGCTTCACGCACCAGCGAGGGAGAGCGATACGGCAGGTCCACGCGGCGTCGGCGCGCGCAAAGGTTATTTGACACCACGTCGATGGTTCAACCGTGAATCGATCGAGGCCCCGATCGTGCAAGGCTGAATTCCGTCGGGTCCAGTGGCGTTACCGTGCCCATCGGTGCTTCCGCGTCGCAGAATTCAACCTTGAACGCCTTCGCCGGCGTCGCTGGCGCGCCAACGCCGAACGAACATACCGTAGGGGTGAGGGGAAGAGAGACAGACGGAGGAACAGGTGTCGGAAACAATTAAGCAACACCCACGCGAAACATATGGCTTGAGCTCCCCCCTCCCCCCGAATTCAATGTTTGTTTCGGATCTCCCGAGTTTGAGTGTCCGAGCCGTGATGCGTAACCGTGCCAACTTTGAATTGCGGGGAAGGGGGGAAGCGTTGCTGAGACTTGTGCCCTCAACCAGATGAGGGCTCATAACAAGAAAAACAGCACACCTTGGAGAAGGGCACGCGCGGACATTCTGGTTCGGCGCAGGACGCCCCTGGCGGCGCCTCCAGCGCCGCCCCTGGCGCGCTCCGCACGCCCGGGAGGGGAGCCCAACGCAAATCCAAGACATCGGCGCGGGCCTTCGAAAACTCATGGACGGGGAACGATACGGAGCGGGGGGGGGCCGGCTCAGGAGGGATGCACCTATCGGCGATGAATGGGCGATTGGAGGTCGATGCGCTCCCCCTGTGCCTATTCCCCCCCTAGCATTGCCACTGGAACTTCCAGAGAGGCAGCCCAACGCGGCTGGACTGCGTCAGGAATCCCAGAGGGTTCCTCGCAAGATAGAAAGGTGCAACGATGGAGCAAACCAGGAAACAAATCAGATCATAGGCAAGAGGGTAAGCTCATGGACCGAGCTTTGGGAGATTCGCGATTTGACCGATCATGAAAGCGAAAAGCTTGGCATGGTTGCGCCACCACGAATACCATACGACTTGCCTGTGGTAGCTGTGGGTCCAAGATGCGTCAGGGGGCTGTCTGGTGATGCTTGCAAGGGCTCTGGTGTGACAGCTGGCAGGTGCGCACTATCACTGACGATGTATTTGGTCGTGCACAGTCACGCTGCGGCTGTCAAACAACTGCCGTCTCACTGATCCGTTGGATTCAGCGACTGCCTTGCACTCCGCCTCACGCTGTCAACTGTCTCAATCCGGTGTTTACGTCGCGCCAGCTATCCTAATACAAGCATCACGAATACTTCCACACCGTGCGTGCCCTTCGAGGTGTGTGTGTGTGTATCCGCCGACACCCGCTTGCCGGGGGTGACAGCGCGTGCGAGACATTCGCCTGTCCCCCTCCTCCGTTTCCCCCTCCCCCAGGGTCCAAGAGCGATCAAGGGGGTGGGGGTGGGGTCCCTGGGCTCCCAAACGCACCCCAGGGGCCTCCGGAACCTCCGAATCTACAATCCGTGGCTTCCAAGATGCACACGATGCACTCTCAGCTGGCTCAAGCTGGGCTCCAACACGCCGAGGAGAGCTCAGAAACAGCCAAGGTGGCCTCAAGTCTGTCCAGGTGGCCTCGAAGACGCCCTAAGAGGGCTCCAAGAGAGAGAACCCCCCCTGAAAGCCCCAAGATGCAACAATCGTCCCAATCCCTAGGGGCAACGTATATGTGTAGCATGTGCGCCTCCTTGGTCTCAACAACGTCCAAGACTGCTCAAGAGGCCCCCAAGATCGCTCCAAGACTGCCCAAGCAGCCCTTGAGATGGCCCCAACACGGCCCAAGAGGACCCCAAGATGGTCGCCCAAACTGGCTCCAGGGGCCCCAACAGGGCTACCAAAAGGGGTCCAGCAGGGGCAACTCGAACTGACATGTCGAGCTTTCCGCCCCAAACAGGCCCCTAAGACCGCCAGCGGGCGCCCCAAAAAGGCCCAAGCGGCCCCCAAGAGGACCAAAAGAGGTTCCCAAATGGTCTCCAAGAGGCGCCCCAGACGACCCTAGGACCCCTCAAAAGCGCGCATAACAATCACAACAGCCCCATGGGGGGTCACCCGTGGACTTCGTTTTTCTTCTGTGGGGCGGCGGAATGGCGTAAGCCTCTGGAGTAACAACTGCATCTCAAAATGATTGTCAACCACCATTCTGCCCCCGCGCCGGTATGGTCTTTCTCTTGATGCCATGCATCTTGACCAGCAGCGGCCTGAGGGGAGAACGCCGAGAATGTGAGGGTGGGAGGTCAACTGCTTGACGTTTTCGCGCGATTTCCCGATCTGCACGCTCCAAACGAAGTGCAGTCGGACCTAGGACAGAAGAACAGCCTTCAAGAACATAAGACCCTCCCCCGGGATGCACAAGACCATCCAACAAACACGAATCACACTAGGTTACCCTCCCCGAACCGACCTCGATCTTATACCTCGTCCCATTTGTATTGCGCTGGCCAATGCAGGCCATCCGCGCTGGACGTTTTTTCAAGGCTTTCGAAACCAACACCGACCTGATGCTCGTAAACAACTGGGAGCTGTCGCAAAGCCCATTCCAGAGTTGGAATCAACTCCCCAAGTGGCCCTCCAAGAGGCCCTCGAGACAGGAGGAGGGCGACACGAGGAAGAGGAGGAGGAGGAGGAGGAGGACGACGAAGGCATCGGGTACATCGTGCAGAATATGCCGCCAGAACTTCCACTCCTTCGCCAAACTAGTGAAGCATCTAACAACGGTCGCCCGATGCCGACGGTCATGGTACATGTGGTACTTACAAGGACCTGCCCTCACGGAGGAGGACGTGGCCACCAATCAGGCGATCTACGCGGACAGCATAGCCGACAACAAACGAAGAGGCCGCCCCGAACTATACCACCATATCCCTGCCCACGCATCCGACGTCACCCCTTTACCCTCCCTTGACCTATCACCTTCACCACCGCCTTTCTTCCCGACCGTACCAGCGCTTACACCACCACCACCAGCCCACTACCCTCGGACACCGATCAGAAACAGATCCTTGCTTTACATCACCAACACCGATAGATACCCGAATGATCTGCTCGATATCACGGACCAACGACTATGCTACAACGATATGGTGATGGAATTGGCTACTATGACCTTCGATGACCTCTACTCTGCCGACTACCCAGCCCAGTACGACGCTCTTGACTCGATCCACCAGCACATTCGACAAGGCGACTTCGCAGGCGTGTTGATCAACCTCTCACCCAGCACTTGGATCGACGAAGGCGATGGCGACACCCACGACAGAACCGCAGCATCCTCCAGAACAACCTCTAACCCATGGGGAAGAGTAAACCTTGGAGGCAAGGCGGCAGAACGTCGACTGATCGCGAATAACCATGCCCGCCTTGCCATCCACATCATCCACGCCGCCTACAAGGCCGAAGTACCTGTGCTACTAGCGCAAGCCGCAGCCCCAGCAGGACCGTCGCTGATGTGGACCACCGAGCAGATGTACTACGCTACGGAGAGAATGGCCACGAGGCGACCAACAATGATCGACGGCAGCCTCTACGCCATGTACTACGGCCTCCAGGAGCACGGCAACCCACTCGACAATTTCTTCACCTCCGTAGTGGGCAGCCTGCCCCCACGAGGTCGGACTGCAGCCTGCAGATCCGACGACACGGTCTGGCCGTAACATGGCCCATGAGGACCGACACGGGCGACCACCAGAGCAAGACGACCATAGAGCTCTAGGTGGCCGCCAACATCATCATGGACGCCCCCTCTCGGAGAGGGGGGGGAGGACACGGTCCAGGCGTGATCTGGGCCACCACCCGCGGGCAGGCCGTCAAGGGGGTGGATTCCCTTCCTCCTCAGGCCTTTAATGAGCCCCCTCCCCCCGCTCCACTTGCCACCCCCTTGTGGCCTCTCCCTTCTCCTCCTTCGCGTCTCCCCCTCTCTTCCGCCCCGAAACTCCTGGGCCCCCCCTTTTTTTTTTCGGTCCCTCCCCTTGTGAGGCCCTGGCGGCTTCTTACCCTGTGCCCTCCTGGCGGGGGGTCTGTGTAGAGGGGTGGCCCCCCTACGCGCCTGGGGCGCACGCGCGGCGGGCCCGCGCGGACGGCTGCGTCACACGACACTTAGCCGAGAGCGAAGCGAAGCGAAGGACGACGAAGGAGCAGAAGAACGAAGCTGAGCACAACGAGGTCTCGTTCGAGGCCCGCGCCAGCGCAGGCAGGGCACTGGACTGGAGTGGGTCTTAAGCGTTTACTCTTGTCTGGCTCGCTGCAGCGCTGTCCCCGTGGCAGGGTTTTCCCCTCTCCCCCTTTCGGCGAAGGCCTCCCCCCTTCCACGCCCCGCTTCCCTCCACAACACCCGGTCCCATCCCCCTCTTTGGCCCCTCCGCCCCTCCACGTCCCCCATCCTTTAAGGAGGCGGAGAAGAACGGAAAAGGATGATGGTGATAATGATCCTGATGATGATGATGACGACGATGATGATGATGATGATGATGATGATGATGATGATGATGATGATGATGATGATTATGATTATGATGATGATGATGACTATGTTGCTGATGATGATGATGATGGTAATGGTGATGATGGTGATGATGATGACGATGATGACGCTGATGCTGATGCTGATAATGTGGATGCTGATGCTGAATCAGATGCAGATGATGATACTGATGATGGTGATGATGGTGACGACGACGATGATGATGGTGATTATGATGATGTGGACGATGATGATGACGATGATGATGACGACGGTGATGATTATGATGGCGATGATGACGATGATGACGATGGTGATGATGGTGCTGATGATGATGGTGGCTATGACGCTGCTGATGATGATGATGATGATGGTGGTGGTGATGATGATGATAATGAGGATAATGATGATGGTGATGATGATAATGATGATGATGATGATGATGATGATGATGATGATGATGATGATGATGATGATGATGATGATGATGATGATGATGATGTCGACGACGACGATGGTGGTGCTGATAATGAAAAAGACGTGCGTGGGGGAGGAAGAGGAGGAAAAGGAGGAGGAGGACGAGGAGGAGGAGGAGAAGCAAGAGCGTCGAGGATGGCTCCTTCGCCTAATTACCCGTGGGGCGGACCGGTGGCCATCTTAGCGGCCCTGCTGATGGCTTGGGACACGCAAGGGGGGAGGACATCCAAGCCCTTCCTGTTTGCTTCGGCGTGAAGCAGTCTATGGCAACAAAGTGGAAGCACAATGCTGCGAAGGCTAGAACCCGAGGGATTCGAAAGCCCAAGGCTCCTGAGGGAATCGCGGGTCAAGAAAAAAAACAAATCCCGAATCACAAAGACTGAGAATCATGAGCACCAGACATGGTGTCAGAGAGAATCCGGCCAGCTGCTGCACCCCAAGATACACCCATCACCTTTACCCCTCATTACGCACCCTACTGGCCGTGATCCACCCGCCCGTCCACGTCATGAAAGCTCCCACGCGCGACGAGGGAGGAACCTTCCTCAGGACCCCCTCCACCGCCCCCCAGTCAACGCGCGCCTCGAAAGCTCCGCCCCCGACCCCAAGCGACCATCCAATCCATTCCCTGATGCAATGCTTTGCAGAGCTGGGGAAAAGCGAGCGGGTAAGAGAGGTGGAAAGGAAACGCTGGACACGCTAGGCAGGTGGTGGCGGCGGTGGCACGGCGGAACCTGTAGAGGCGGAAGTGAACAGGGCATCCGCATAAGCAGCACGGGCACAAGAAGCTGAGACTTTTGCCTCCCCGAGCTCTCGCAACGCGCCTCCCGCTGCAGGACTGAGACGAGAGACCAGGGCCGCCGAGGCGCAGGCCGCCTCAGCCATCACGGCGGCCAGCACGTCGAGGTAGACCACCTCGTAGCTGGAAGCATGTCGTCGGCGTGGGCCAACAGCTCGTTGCTCACCTCCCCCAGCAGAAGAGTGTCCGAGGCCGACCGCATCCGAGCCGCCAGCGCAACTGCCTCTACACTCGGGGCCTTCGGCAACCCGAGCACGTCAATATGGAAATCATTCGCCTTGGCCAGCCATGTCACGGGCGCTCGAAAACGACATTTGCGCAGCGCCATCTCCTGCAGGATGAGGCGGATGGGCAGGGGCACCAACTGAGCTTTGTAGGGCACGACGCTGGCCGCCCTCGATCGATGCAGCTCGGGAACCGTCAAACCATCAGCACGCGCGTCAGGGATAGCTGGAGTGCGACTCCCCCATCCCTTGAGTGGACCAGTCAATTGCCCCTGGACCGTGACGGAGGGGCCCATTTCGAAGCCCTGGTAGGTGAGCCCGTCCAAAATGTCGAAGTCCTGCTGCCCAGAACCGGTGTCGAGTAGCCTCCTCGCATCTCATCGCGGCCCTGCCCTTGAGTTCGCCGTTGCAAACCGACGCCAGCGGGCCCGCAATGCACAAGTTGCGCTGCAGACCCGGCCTCGCCGAAGTGCCAGCCCAGTTGAAGATCGGCTTCGTGGCCGCGGGGGGGGGGGGTCTGGCAGAGCGACGCGGCGCCGCAGTTGTCGGCGCGCCACCGAGCGAGACCAGCGCCCTGCCGCTCGACCTCCGTCTCCAACGTTTTCGCGAAAGGCTGGTGCGCGATGTCGAACAGGGGGCCGCTGCTCGGGCCTCCATGCATCGCTCCCGCGACAGTGGGGACGAGGGCGCGCCTGCTGCTATCTGACGAGACCGCCGCTGCCATCCTGCGCGGGCCCTCGAGACCCTCGAGCGCCACAGGTGGAACCGCCCACTTGCTCAGAGTTCCCCGCGACAAATCGCGGGCTGGGAACGGGGGCGCCCGGCAGAAACCGAAGCTCCACAACGTGAGGTCGTCAACCTTCCGGGGGTCAATTTTCAGCTCGTCAAGTGCCATCCTCTCGCCGCGGGAGATCTCGCGCTGAGTGCCCGCGCCGACCTCGCGACGTGAAGATACCGAGCTCGCCAGCCTGCCAGCTCCGCCCAGCACCGCCACGCTCTCGAAGAAGTCCCCCCCCGACGAACCCCCCTTGCGACGCGGCCGCCGCGCCCGCCACCAGGCCGGCCAGTTTCCGGTAGATCGCGGCCGAGACCACCTTCGCACCTGCGTCCCGAAGAGAGAGTGGTCTTGTCTTCTCAGGATCGCGAACGTCCTGGCCCTCCCCCGCCTCGTCGACCCTCTTCGGTCAAAACGCTGGGATCAGCTCATGAAGTCCAACCTCGCGGGAACACCGTCTCGGAGCCACCTCGGCGACGCCAGGGGGGCGCGCGCGCCTGCAGGGCGAGAGCGCAGGTGGCTCATCAACTCTAGGAGCTGCGCGTCGACCCTAGCCCACAGCGCCTCCCCCGCGTCGCGACGCACGGGAAAAGAGAGACGGGGCCCAAATCAATCTTGGGCGCGCCGCGCTTGTCAGGTCACCCCCCAATGGGAGCCTCGCGCCCGGCAGTCCTCTCAGGGTCCATCTTGAGCACGGGGACCCATCGGTGCGAACGTGTGCGCCCAGTGCCCAGCCAGAGCAGCCGCGCGTTCAGCCTGAGCATCGGCGCAGCATGTCGATGTCGATGACGCCGAGGTGCTGCGAGATCACCACCTCGGCCTCGTCATCTGCGAAAAAAGAGGGTCGATGGGGGCCGGCTCATTGCGGGCTCGGCACTTGGCCTAGCGGCAGGTAAGATCCACCACCATCGCCGAATCATCGCTGATCTTCGCAACGCGCAACTCCCGCACCTCGACTCCCAAGCGGCAGTGCGCCCGCGACTGGTTGGGCATCCGCTTCGGCATCCCGATGATTGCCCGACCGATGTGCGAGCTGACTCTGTGACCTCCGCGCCGGCGTGCGCCGGCCTGGCGGGGCGAGCTCGGCCGTGGACTTGGCGACCGCCTGCAGGGCCCTGGAGGCGGCGCGGGGGCGCGGCCTCGCCCCCGTGCCAGTGTGCCCAAGCGAACTGACGCCCGTGGAGTCAGAGCTCTCACCTCTCGCCATCGCTGAAATCGCCGCAGACGACCGCTAGCCTCTTGGACGGGGCTTCGAGGGCCCCCTCGAGGTCAGGCGCCGCCCGGTCCATGATGCGCCGCGCATCCCCGGCGGCGACCCCACAACCGTGAACGCCCCCATTGGAAATTCAAAGTTACGACCCCTGCTCCTCAACAGCTGCCCTCGCGCGAAGGACTCGGCCAGGAATCGGAACCGCTGGCTCGCAGAACTGAATCTCGCCATTGGCGCTCACGGCGGACACAGTGGCGACCCCATGTAGCTTCTCGCCCTTCCTCGTGAAGATAGCGGTCCATAGCTTAAAATGAACGCCCAGATCACTTGAGCAACTCTCGGGCCTTCCCCACCGGAGCCATGGGCCTCCTGGAAGGCCCAGGCCGCGTCGGGGAACCAGGGCTTCTTCATGGACGTTAGCTTGCCTGGATGTTCCTTGCCTTCGAATGCCGCGGGGCGCGGGTGTGTTCCAGGAGATGAACCTCGTCGGCCTCGAGCACTCCTGCCGCTTCCCGAACTCGCTAAAGACGCCGCCCTGCCGTCTCGGGCTCCCCGGCACTACGCGCCGCTGTCTCCATCTCCTCCCGACATAGTCCCAGAGAGCGAATTGTTGCTATGTTTCATTGGAGCTCGGGGCCCCAGGGTGCATCGGGGATCTCCTGCCTGAGGAAGCCCTTCCACTGGGAACTGAACGCGCACTCCATGCCGTCGATGAAACTATTGCGGTCCAGCAGTGGGACCAGTTCGCGCTGGGCCTTCTTGAGCAGGAGTCCGCGGGCAACCGTTGTCCGATTCTTGTCAAGGCCGACCGAAACTTTGACTTGAGTTCCAGTGGGGGCCTGCGCCACGATATCCTTCCACGACGTGTCTGCGTCCTGCATGCCCTGGGAAAGCTTCTGAGCCCTCCTGACGGCGAGCCCTGCAGCCCTGCAGCTCCTTGGGACCTGAGAGCGAGCCTGGAACCCATCCTCGACCTTGAACTGTTTTATGGAAGAGTTGGAGTCTCGCACAACTCCGCCAAAGCTGGCAGAAGTGGGGCCTTGAGGATGGGCTTCCGAGCGTTGACCACGATCGCCGACAAGCCGACCGCACGATCCCAATATGCCCACGATGCTGGAGCAGGCGGAGTGGAGCTCTTGACCACCACAATTTCGCGTCCTATGAGCTCCAGCTCCTGCTGGAGGGCGCCCAACTCGTTTCAACTCATCAACTCGAGTCCCGGCCTCTGCGAGCCGATCCTCATTGTATGCGAATGTGTCATCAATCTGCTCGGCGGTGGCATCTCGACCCTCGGTCAGCTTGGGGGAGCAATCTGTTGCGCACTTCTGGGCGAAGGCGGTATGCTGCTGGGCCATGTCCGCTGCGAGCTTCGTGTGTGAGTGCGGAACGTGCGCTGCTATGCTGGCTACCAGAGAAGACTGGGGCGAAGCGAAATTCCCGACAAGGTCAGCGTTCTGACCGGCCGATCGTGCAGCACGGGGGGCACCAGGGACACCAGCACGAGGACGGCCCCCACGAGGAAACTCCATCTCCACGCCGGCCGCCGCCCAGGCATCAGGTGGTCCTGCACCGCAAGGGGGGGGAGGTCACCTCCTCGTCAGGGAAGGTGGCTGCAGCCTCGGGCTCGGCCACAAGACGCGCTCGCTCAGCAGGATCTGGAGGAAGCCGGGTTCAGCACCCGCAGGACCAGGAAGAGAAGCGCCAGGAGCAAGACCTGCGCCACCCACCCCATCACGAGCCGAGCGATCCCGACGGTCATCACCTTCTCCGCGCCGATGGCCATCCCGAGGGCGACGAAAGCCTCTGCGATCAGCACGTGCGTCGTCATTACGCTGGGCGCAGAGACCAGGTTGGTCAGCACGGCGCCGATCCCGATGAGGTCGTCCGCTGCCTCCGCTTCGGGTCGCTCGTGAGCTCTGTCCTTCACTGCCACTGCCGCCACCTTCGGCTCGTATGTGTCTGGCATGTCCTGCCCGCACTTGTGCCATCACAAAAGAACGGACAACTCCACCGTTTACTCTCAGGCACTGATGCAGAAGTGAAAGAAAAGCGCAACTGCGTACTGGCACATGGATCCAGCCTGAGGGTAATCAGACCGAGATTCAGGGAGCAAGCCTCGGAACTGAGGTCTCCTTGGGCCCCCCAGGGAACCTGACATCTTCGGCCAAAATGGCAACGGGGGGGAAGAGGAGGAGGAGGAGGAGGAGGAGGAGGACGAGGAAGAGGAGGAGAAGGAGGCGCATACTCGAGGAGGGTGGAGAGGAGAAGTGGCTCTTGCCTGTGATTGCTGGGAGCGCAACCGACGGCGCTAAAAGGCGAGCAAGCTCTCCCCCTCCTCCTCCTCCTCTTCCTCCTCCTCCACCTCCTCCTCCTCCTCTCCTCCTCCTCCACCTCCTCCTCCTCCTCCTCCTCTTCCACCTCCTCCTCCTCCTCCTGATTCTCCTCCAATTCCTGCAGAAACTCCTCCTCTTCCTCCTGCATCTATCTGCCTCCATTTCCTCTACTCCTGCTCCGTCCATCCCTGCCTCCCTCCCTCCTCTCATCCTCCTCCATCCTTCTCCATTTCTCATCTTTCATCCACCTTCCTCCTCCTTCCATCCCCTCCCCGTTCTACAATTACTCCATATGAATACTATTCTCCTCCTTCCCCTGATGACGGGTTGGGAGTGTTCGCCCCCCCCCCCCCGCGTACTGTTTTTTACACACAGGATTCCCCGGAGTTGGGTTTTCGCCTGCATTTTTTTGTCAAAATGCTGCTCTCGCTGAGGCGCCGGCCTCATTTTCGGGCCCCGCTCGTTCCGAATCGTGCTCCCGCTGCAGCGCTGGCCTCATTTCCGTGCTTCCGCTCGTTCCGAATCGTGCTCCCGCTGCAGCGCTGGCCTCATTTCCGCGCTTCCGCTCGTTCCGAATCGTGCTCCCGCTGCAGCGCTGGCGTCATTTCCCGTGCCATGCCACGGCATGCAATGCAATGCTAGGTTGCGTTCCGCTGCGCGATGCCACGCCTTCAGCTGAAGCTGTGAAAAACAGTGCGTAAGTGCCACGTTGTGCTATGCCATGCTACGCTTTGATCTTCAACGCCATGATATGCAATGTTATGTTCGGGGCCGCTGTGCGATGCCATGATTTGCGTTGCAAAGCTTTGTGATGCAATTCTTCATTACGCCACGCCACGCCATGCTGTGACATACTACGCTTTGCGGTGCTTTTCTACGCCATGCCACGCCGTGCTCTACAATGCATCGCGTACCCGTTCGGGATCATTGCCCTGCTCGACATCCGACTGTGCGAGTAGAGAGGGGATCTACGCCAGGGTAAGGGATGGGAGGGAGGGGTAGGATGTCAGATATGACGCGAGCGCACCTAGCTCGTTCCCTCCCCCTCCCCCTCCCCCTTTGCCCCCCTCCTCCTTATATCCCTGCTTTTCCTCCTCCTCCCTCCTGCCTTGCCCTCCCACGTCGCTCTCCTTCCCTCATGCCTGCTCCCTTCCTCCACGGTCCAGCGCGTGATCCTGAAACGCGATCCTTTCCAAACTGTACCCAGGGACGTACCCAACCCATCTCCACCAAATGCGAACATTAACGGGCCCACCCTTAACGAAAAATGGTATGACAGGACGCGGGGACCCAATGACAACTACATGGGGGCCAATGCATTGCACGCCCACGGGATCGATGTGAAAAACGCCGAATGATCCTGAGTGAAGCCCGGAAGACAAAATGACGATGGCAACCAAGATAAGGAAGGAGGTTTGCACAACAAGGAAGGAAGACGAAGACACGGGGGACAAAGTGGGCGGCATCTGGGGCGAGGAAGAAGGGGTACAAGGATGACGAAGGGCTTCCTGATTCCTGGATATTTCGGGAACGCCCCCAAGTTGGCATAAATGGTCGGCTGCTTGGCTTTTTCCCTGCGGTGTCCCGCGCGGGAACTCGAAACCCGCATGCGCAGCCACCGTGCGAGACTGTTCACGGGTCGCGAATATCAAAACAGCGTCTCCGAAGCCGTGGCCCTTTGGCGACATGACGTGCAAATGCAGCCAGAGGCTGTCCACGTCGCCGGCGTCTCAGGAGTCCACGAAAGCCGTGCCAGTTACACATGTATACACATGTGACAGCACCCCGTGGGGCGAGTTCTAGTTTGGGTCCACGCGACGCTGCCTTTTGCTGAGCTTCCCATGGGCCCACGAAAGCGGCGACAATTTCGCAGGTCGCACCCCCGCAGGGAGCAGCGCGCGTATAAGGTCGCTCCGCTGGGCCTCCCAGTAGCCCAGATAGCTTCGCAGTTTGCAGTTCCGCAGGGAGCCGCGAGATCTACTGCGGGTGCGCGCGTGTGAGGTCGCTTCGCTGGGCCTCCCAGGAGCCTACGAAAGTGGCGGCAGTTTCGCAGCTCGCAGACCCCAAGTAGGAAAGGTAGAAGGTAGGAGGAGGGAGGAGGCGGAAGAAGGGAGGCGGGAGGGAGGAAGAAGCCGCGCAAGCAGCTCTCTGCCCGAGTGAAGAACCAAACGCAAGAGGTTTGGGGACACGTTGCGGGAGATTGCGCTGGTGCGCGGCGGCCGAGTTTGATGAAGCGGACCCGAGGGGAGTGGCCAAGGCGAGCTGCGCGCAGGCTGACCTGAGGGCGGTACGATCTGCAGAGCAGTCGCCTATTCCGTCTCGACCTCGATTGCGCAAGTCCCTTCTGTGATCGTAGTGCGGGTTCCAGAAAACCCTCAACCCAAGAGTGATCAAAAATGCTGTCATCTTGTAGGAAATCGACTTTTGCTTCCGCCGGCTTCCGCCAACCTTCCGCGAACTTGCACTGGCGGAGCCGCCCTCGTTATACTTCCGCCGCCTTCCGCCGAGGAAGAGATGTCAACTCCTGGAAGGCGAGGCCCTTCCTGGAACGCCTCACATGGGCACGAAGAAGAGGAGGAGCAGGAGCAGGAGGAGGAGGAGGAGAAGCAGGAGCAGGAGCAGGAGGAAGAGGAGGAGTAGAAGGAGGAGGAGGAGGAGGAGGAGGAGCAGAGGGAAGAGGAGGAGGATCAGGAGGAGGAGGAGGAGGAGGAGGAGGAGGAGAGGAGGACGGGGAGGAGGAGGAGGAGGAGGAGGAGGATGAAAGAGAGGTAGAGGAGGAGGAGGAGAGTAAAGGGGAGGAGGAGGAAGCGAGGAAGACGAGAGGAGGAGGAGGAGAGGAGGAGGAGAGGAAGGAGGAATATGAGAACCCAAAGTAGGAGGGCCCGGGACAAACGCCCTCCCGCCTCGTTCTTCGGCGGGCCGCTGGGGCGCATGGCCGACGGGCCGGCCGCCGCCGCGCCGGGGCGGGCACCGAGCCGAGGTGCCACGCACGTCGCCGCCGCCGTCGCAGTTCGTCGTCGCCGTCGTCGCCTTAGAGCCCTGAGATCCTGGCGTTGCAACGTTTTCACGACGGGTGTCTTCGCTCGAGTTCGGGCCTCGAGGCCCTCACAGATCGATCCAGCTCGAAAAATTACACAGAAAGATTGGGTCCGGGGGTCCAGGCGTGATTTTTTGCGGTGTTCCATTTTTTGGCACCGTTGGATCTCAGGGGGGCGGAGGAGAAACGAACGGACGAACGCCACTACAGCTCAGGCTGTCCCAACTACGGGGATGGGCGTGTAGCGCCGCAGCGCTCAGTGCTTCTTCTCGAGGAGACCCTCATGTAGATGATGGGCGTCGTTGTCTCTAGGGACAGTGTACCAATTCTCTGGCGTAGCTTGGAAACCGTGCCAAGACAAGACAAGACCGATGACCATGTCATATCAAGTCGCGAGGCTCCCCTGCCCTGGCCCGCAGCCGAGCAGGACGACAAAAGGTAGACGACCGCGAGTGGGGCCAGGAAGGCGAGGAAGTCGGAGGAGCGAGGGGGGCTTCCGTAGACGTTTTGGCTCAAGATTCAGGCGGTTTCAGCGGCAAGCGCGGCGTCACGCGGCGTCCTTCCACCCCGATCTATACAGCACGCCCGCGAGCAGACCCAATTCGAGACAGCACCAGCATGTTATTGAGGCCATCAGGGGGATTGGCGTTTCTTCCCTTTCTCGCCATATTTCTTCCTCACACGTTTCACCCAATCGAGCAAAAGCAATGCCAAGGTTCGGATACGCAGTCATGATACCATATCGTGATAAAGTGTGGATACGCGTTTCGATGTACGACGTTAGCTTGTTGTGGCGCGGAGATCACATACATGGCAGCGGACTTACGACCAGCAGACCAGTCGACCAGAAGCTCACCGACCAGCAGACCACCCATCGGACCCATCGACCACCTACTGACCAGCAGACCCACCGACCAGACTACTACTGACCACCGACCACCGGACCACCGACCACTACCAAGCAAAGCCACCACAGACCGCCAAGCCCGCCGCCGTTGTCTTGTGCAGCCCCACCCCCCAGTGCACGGTGCACCCTACACTCCTTTACCTGGGCTGCAGACGACTATCACGGTAAAAAAGACACTAGCGTCCACGACGGACATGACACCTAGGCACCAGCTACCGCAACACCACAGGCACCTCCTGAGCTAAACCACATTCACACGGCACACGAGCGACATCCACCACCAGAGAGCAACCAGCGTATAAAGACGTGACATCGACGACACCAATAACAAGCAGCGGACAGTCACCACCATGACGGACAGGTCAACCAGCAGACACACCGACAAGTAGACCACTGATTGTCCAATAGACACACCGACCAACGACCAGCAGACCACCGACCCACAGACCCACCGATCAGCGGACCACCGACCAGCAGACTGCCAACCACCAAACCAGCAGACTACGGACAGCCGACCAGCAGACCATCCAGCAGACCCATCGACCATCCGCCAAGCAGATCCACCTACCAGCAGACTGCCGACCAACAGACCCGCCGACCAGCTGAACGAACGACCAGCAGGCCACCAACCAGCAGATCACCGACCCACAGGCCAGAAGACCCACCGACCACTGACCAGCAGACTACCG